CAGTTAGCTACATAATCATATGATTAGCATGTTGAATTCAGAGTTTCAATGTAAAGCGTTTTGACTTGAAGCAAATGGCTTGAAAAGAGCAATATGTGTTTTGTCCAGAAAAAAACAGCTAAACCGAGAGAATAGATAAACTAGGTATTTACCTATCGTCGAGTAAACACATGTAACTACATCTGCTACTATCTAATGCTTTAGGGATTACCATATTAATAATATACTGATGTCAAAATAATAATTATTATACATTTATACCTCATGAAACGATCCATTCCCGCCATGGAAGATGGTGCATGCTGGCAGCAAGCCGGCAACAGAGATCAGCGGCGGCCATTACAGACTACAGAGTCACCGTTTAGTCAAGTTTGGATGTAGAGGAGATGCAACCAATCACAAACAATTGTGCTTCCTGATGGTGGCTGATGGCAGCAAGCGGGCAGCGGCCGCAATATTGGGAATCTGAGACCAAATCGTGTGATGAGCTAATTGTTCATTCATGTAGTTCTACAATTACAACTTCTAGGGTTTGAGAGACAACCTAATCTAATGCTAAAAAGTAAGTAAACACTAACCTTTTTACCCTCGTTTGGTTGCTCGTCCATACGGCCGGCCGACAAGAATGCGGGGTCGACACATCGATACTTTTCCTGTCCTTTTCCCTTCTCGAAGGAGAGATTTGATAGAAGATCTAGCAGATGGCCGGCGGCAGGCTCGATCGAGGAGCAGTTTTTTTAGCAGATTGGCAACGAAGCGATTAAATTTACAGGAGATCTCAACCGTGCGTACTTCTTCCTAGCCTTTTTGAGGGATTACTGCTGCTTCCTAGCCTGGCGCACGGCCTCTTTGTTTCCATTGTGGGCTACCTTCCATTCTTATTTTTCAGGAATTTGGGCCTTTTGGCTGCAATCGCTTGTGACAACAGTACATGGGCTCTGGCCATGCGAGGCACAGGGGGGCGAAGCAAGTCACGGACAGTTGTTTACGAAGAAAAATTAGCGACCAACTGATCGCTATTAAGGTGTGACACGATCGTTAGGGGGGG